GGAGAAAAACGAGAGATTTTCGAAAACAAGGTTTTTGCCGGATTTCTCGTTTAAATCATAAAAAAGAGTCTTGCGACGTTGTCAGCGTGAAAATAGAGATCAAGAGCTTCAAAATGATATATAGCTTGCTAAAATTGGATTCGAAACAGCGAAGAAAAGGGTACCAGAGCCAAATGCCCCGCGCCCCGCGTTTGGGGTAGCGAGGTAGCGCGCAGCGTGCGGAGACGCAGACGAGCAGCGGAGACAGACCAGAGCCGGCGGGGCATTTGGCTCTGGTCATTGATTTCCGCGGGGTCATAACAAAACCCTATAATATTATATATCGTTGTGATCCCCATGAGACGGCCAGGAGCACTGACAACGTCGCAGGTCTTGAAAATCACTCCATAACGAGATAGACCAGCATTTATGTGGCGACTCTCTGCGCAAGATTTCAGCGCAGTTTCTCGTTTTTATTGAATTCCAGCGGCTTTCGTGAACCTCCAGTCTCAATCGCAGTCTACAGAAAGGTTAATTGATAAGTTTCATCCTAATTTCTAACTGAATTTTTGAAGAAAAACCTTCTTTCCAGCAAAAAAAGGCCATAAAAATGCGATCCTTCGGTTTTTTGAGCTTTTTCTGGATGTCACTACTATATTTGCCTCATTCACATTCATCCTTACATAGTTAGTCATTGATTATATCATAATATCCGGGCTTCGCCCCGGATGACTTCTGTATTCCTCTCCAGGTGAAGGTTGCGTCCTCTCAAGACACTCAAAGTGAAGGTCACCAGAGTACGTGGCTCTATGTATCGAAGGTATGGCTGGAAGCATAGGTCGAGTCCCAAGTGACGAATAGCTACTAAGCAGGCTGGTGGCAAGGGCCCCTAAGTGTGTATGGAGTTCCCATGTGGCAGGCACAAGCATCGTTACACAGGTAGCCACCTCACACGTTACGTTCCATTATTTCACGGTGCGGACCCCTGGCTCCCCTCGCCGATGCAGGAGAGCCTAGATACCACTGACGCTGGGAGCTGGGGGCCCAATCCGCGACAGAATCCTTTTGTTCTTCAATGACTGTCTCTTTGGCACCACTGCTGCAAAGGAATTGCGTTGTATTGGCAGAGGTCCACAATTATGTTATCGGTTTGTTTATTGCATTCCAAAGTAGCAACCTTAACAAGTAGATATAAAGCGTCAAAGAAAAAATTACCCAAAATATGGGGGCAAACACGAGCAGATAAGGCTGCAAAGTTGGAAAATGAATAGAGAGAATCTTGGCTCCAGTTCAAATGTTTTGGATCCTTATTTATTCGCTTTGTTATCGTTGCTGAACTTGTTATTAAAAGCAAAGCGAGCCCCATGAGACGGCATTCGAGCATGCGCCAAAAGTTTTTTCATGATGTTTGAAGACACCACCTAAAAATATTTGTAACTCAAATTATCGGATCACTTAAATTGGCCTCTTCAATCCTACAAATGTCAAGCACACCCTACCCTTGGAGCTATGCTTATCTGTCCAAGAAAATTCACGAAAAAGATATTTTTAGCATTGAAAATGGATGGCCAATTAATGACTCAAATGCGCTCAGTCTGATAACTGCAATAAGTCAAGTTTATTCTCCATTCGACGTAGCTTGAATCTGATAGAGGAATTCAAGTTCTACAGAAGATGCTAAAAAATCTGCTCCAAGTTTGACCTATGCAAAATTTGGAGCCAAAAAGTACCAGTACCAAAAAGATTGAGGAGAGATCGAAGCTTTGTCCAAAATTATACAGTGCTGGGCAAAAAATAGGTCCACTCTATAAAATGCCACAACCCACTCTGTTGTCAACAAAATGTTCCAAAATTTGGTACAGCTGTGTGTTTACCAGTCTACTATCAGTCGAAAAAATGGGTCTCGTCTTCGTTTGGTTATTCAAGAAATAAATCAATAATTTTGAAAATAGCAGGCTTGAAGGCTGGTCAAAATCATAGGTCCACTGGAGTTTTTGCTGATTAAAGCACTTCCTAGCTTCCAATTTTTTTAGGTGGATACACATCCAAAAGCCTTAAACAGTTGCTTTAGTCAAGCTGTGTCATACCTCCAAAAAGAACTGATTATCTGCTTTTTTGCCTTGAAAATGCTCACATGTATTTCGTTCCAGAAACATGCGTCGAGTAAGAAATTCTGCAGTTTCCCAGCTAGATCGGAAGCGACAGGGTCTCTTCTACCTTTTGGATGCTTTTTGACTTGAGCATTGAGGAAGAAATTCGACTTTTTGCTACTGGAACAAATCCGACATTGACAATACTGCAATCCTGAGCTCAAATTTCTGCCTTCAAACTTCTTTTGCAATGTCCACAGAAGCATTAAGTAAAGTAAAGGCATTGTTTCTACGAAGAGGAGTCCGTATTCCATGGTTACAACTTTCTAGAGATCCTAGCATTCGAGTGTAATTACTAAAATTACCCTGCAGAAACTGATTACGACAAGCACCAAAGCTAATTATGGCTCCGGCCAAAGTTTTCAGACATATTATGTGCCATACAAGTTGTATCCGTTATCTGGTAAATAAATTACCATCAAAAATCCAAGTGAGGTAGCACTTGGCAAGCTATTTTGGAAGTGAGTAACACCATCAACGCTGCACAACTCATGTTTCGAAAAAGAAGCAAGGCAGCTTTGTGAACACTTGTGAGTATGGCGTACAGTTATATTCTTGTGTAAAGAATGCTTCTACAATATCTTGAGGTTATAATGACAATGCATTAAAGATTTTAGGGCAGAAACTGAGGCTTGCGCTCCCGATTAAGTCGATGTCGGATTTGTTTCAGTAGCAAAAAGTCGGATTTCTTCCTCAATGCCCACGTCAAAAAGCACCCGAAAAGCAGACGAAACCCCGTTGCTTCCAATCCTGCTAAGAAACTCAGAGTTTCCTACTCAAAGCAGGTTTTTTAAACGAAATACATGTGAAAGCACCTTCGAGGCAAAAAAAGCAAATAATCGGTTCTTTGGGAGGTATGACACAGCTCGACTAAAGCAGCTGTTTAACGCTTTCGGATGTGCACCTACCCAAAAAAATTCGGAAGCTAGGAAGTGCTTCAGTCAGTAAAAACTCCAGGTGGACCTATAATTTTGACCAGCCTTCAAGCCTGCTTTTTTCAAAATATTTGATTTTTTCTTGAATAACCAAACGAAAACGAGACCCATTTCGTTGACTGATAGTAGGCTGGTAAACACACAGCTGTACCAAATTTTGGAACATTTTATTAACAAGAGAGAGAGAGTTATGGCAGTTTTAGAGTGGACCTATAATTTTGTCCAACACTGTGGATGTGCTTTTTGCTCAAGCGTATAAATTACAGGGTGCGTCAAAAGTCTGGGAGCCTAACTTTGCAGTACGCAATCACAGTACTGCTGGTTTTGATTTCATTTTTATGCCACTTGAGCTGCGGTCATTCTCTGCAAAACACGATTTACCTAGCTGGAAATGGCTGCCGTATGTTTCTGTGATTGTAAATTACCAAACTAGTGCTCTTGCAGAGCGAAAAAACCAGAATTTTCAGTTTTACAATTTTTGCTATAGCTAGAGATGCTGTTAGTATGTTACAACACTTCGATGCACACAATATAGAAGAGGCTTTGCGCTATTGAAGTGTAGTTTTGCTTTTGCCGAAGCTGTTATCGCATAAACGGAAAGTAGAAGTTTGCAAGTTTTACCTACGTGCCAGTGGCCATCCGTCTTCGGAACAAATTTAAAAGCTATAGAAGCGTGACAGTCACGGAAACAAAGGTTATATTTTTTGCATAGGTCTTTTAAATAAGAATCTATTGAAATTCGGTCAAGGGAACACTTTTTTATACTTTTTAAATGATAATTTTTCGCTTTCCTTCGTGCATTGTAGTCAAATTTTTGGAATGCGACGTACACGTTCTGATTAAAATTCCAATATTTCTATTTCTAAGCAATGCAAAAAATTCTTTTTGTAAGCATATTGTAAACAAAAGCTTGCCCTATCATGCTGCACATTTGGCAAGGTAAAAGAAACAGTTACTGTAAAGGCGTTGGGCGAATTTCATTAGACTACCTGCGTGCCATGACAGGTGGATTTGCCGAGACTTTGTAGATCCGCGTGGAAGCCAAAAGAGGCAATTTTGAAACTCAAGAACTGATCTGTATCTGCAATGGTTCGAATTATGTGTGCGCCAAATTTTTCGCTTCTAGGTATTTCCCTTCTCATTTTGTATGAAAAAATACTAGGCTCCCAGACTTTTGACGCACCCTGTACATATCGGACACATTTATATAGGTCAATTCATAGTTAATGCAAGTTTTGCTACCCTTTCCTCAAACTGGCTTCTATAGCAGAACCGACTATCTCAAAAATCTCCTACACAGTTGAACGAGCATTTCTTTTAGTCTTCTACAAATTCTTTTCGTTAAATAGCTTTGTAAAGTGAAATAAGCTAAATGCAGTATAATAAAGTGCAAAAAAGTGAATTATACAAAAGCACTGCAAGCACAACAGCGATCAAAACAAAATTGCATGAGCATTACAAACTAGAATCATTTCAGAAAACGTCGCCGTGCACGAGTTTTTTTGACTTTGCAATCTTCAATTCTAAAAATACCTAAAATTTCATGTTGAAGATAAAGAAATGAGTCAACTTTTTGTTGTTTTTGTTTTTGTTCAAATTTTTGATCTCGCCGCTAACAAGTGTTCAGGCGCAAAGTACAGTTTTTATTAGTGGTAACAGAGCAAATAAGAGTTAGACTCAGAAAAATGGCATGTAGTTCTTATTTTTGTCGGCAAAAATGGCAAATTTATTTGTTACACGGAATATACTGAAGTTGGATTTTGCGCACTTTTTCAAATGGCTCGTGAAAGAGCTGTATCAATTGCCTTTTAATGGTTCGAAATTGGCGAATGAGAAAGGAGGTTTAAGGAAAAAAACTGCGAAGATTTACAATAGTTCGGCCAACCCAACCGGTGTTTTACGGGTATATTATCATACGGAAATAAGAATATGTTTTAGTCAGTCTCCCATGCTACCTTCACCTCTTCTCCTGTTTGTACTTATTTATGCAGCAGCTGTTGATGGAAGCATAATAAGGTAGCGTTCGAATAGATATATCATTTCTATCATTTTACGAAGAGATGTAACTAATATTTCCGTATTCATACCATATAAAAGTAAATATAAACATGACCGAGGCTGCCGAGACGATGGTTAGGCGAAATAATTGACAAACCAATAGTCACGAACATTCCTGTTCCCATTATTCCTTCACAGAAAAGAATCTAAATCTTGGTCTCAAGAGAAAATTGCAGGCGTTGAGATAACCCAAATGGCAGTTGCAGTTTTAGCTGTAGTAGAGAATGGACTCATTGTCAGTCATGGCCAAAGTTCAGCTACTCTCAATATTGGAGAAATTTTCCATGTGACTTGCTCACGGGACAAATGATTTGCAGTCTCATACTTTTTTTCGAGTGCAGTAATAGGCTCGTTCTTTATCTCATCTTAAAGTTAGGCAGTTCGGACAGTTTGGGATGTTCCGCAAGCTTATTGAAACATCTGTGCTACAGTGGCGGTCCCAGAATTTCCGTCCTGGAGGGGGGAGGCAGAAATTTTAATAAAGATGCGTGGCGTTAGCCACGCAATCCGAGAAATTTTCTGAAGTACTTCTCAAAAATTTTGCGGCCCTGTAACCCATAAAATGTAGAACAAGGGGGCGTAGCGGCAGCCACGCCACGAAAAAAGATTTTTACAAGACTAATTTGAATTTTTGAAAACTTTCGAAAATTATTTTAATTATTTACAAGAGTAAAGAAGTCACTCGCACTTTTTTATATCCGATTTTATATCCCATCACATTTTTATAATAAATTCTCGCGACCCATTCCCTCCCCCCCCCCCCCCCCCCCCGAGAATGGGTCGCGCTATGTCCCTTAGCTTGATTCACTTTACAATCCAACCAAGAAGCCGTAAGTATATGGCTCAAAAAAATGATATTAATAGTAATATACGGCTCAATAGTAGCTATTATAGTAATCAATAATCGATTATTTGGTGGGGAAAGCTTCCATGCGCTACAGGAGCGAGACTCAGGCTTGATACTCTTCTAAAATAACGAAATATCCGGTCCACATGAAGATAACGAAACGGTCTGAATGTAGCAAGTGCTTCCATGTGCTGCCCTTCCTTTTTCTACCGCACAACCAGGTATAGGAATGCACTTGAACAAAGCATGCGGTAAGTGAAGTAGAACTCTGGTCACAAAGTGACTGTTTTTTGTATTCTTTGTGCCTGCTATACCAAAGCTTTATATCAACATCCAAAGCGCCTTCTATCAATCGTCTGCAGTAATAGAAGCTATAGCGGAAAATTACACTTTTCTGTGTAGAGGCGGAACTTGCAAGAAAAATCAGAGTACTCAATATTAAATGTAATACTAAATGTTTTATGACTTGTTTTTTATTTGAGCACTTGTGTGTTTGAGCTTCTCCAATGAAAGGATAATTTTCTTTGAGCAAGATTTAAAAAAAAACTCTTTGGTGTTGCGTGTCGGGACTCTTACAGAAAGGTCAATGAAATACGCTCAGATAGAAAGAGCAGTTCGTAAAATTTATAATAGCAACAGCTTTGATCCGTGGTGCAAGGTGCACAGAAAAATCAGTGGCTTTTACAAATTTCTGTACATGTTGAAACGCTTTCAGGTGCGACAGCAAAGCGCACAATCTTTCTTCTTACTTGAATTAGGCGTAACGAATTTTTGAAAAAGGTGCAGCTTTTGCGCCAACCTGTGATTGTGATTGCGCCATGTCTGCACTTTAATAGCAAGCGTTAGAATTTTCGTGTTACTTCGGCAATGTCTTTCTCCTTCATGAATCATCTTTCCAGGGAATCTATCCTCATACTTTGAGTCAATTCAGACCGCATCCTGCAAACCATGCATTTCAAATGCGACCAAAATCTCAGCTTGACTTGGAAGCGGAAGACTTTGATGATATAGCACAACTTTAGAACATCGAGGTAACAAAAGTCCTATTTACTTTTAGGCAACGACGTTGTGTTGGCACCGGCTGTGTAACCACAACTACACGTAGGGTAACGAAGGTCATTACTGAGACTACCTACGTGGACCCACCCACGACCTATGTACAACCAACGACCTATATGCAACCACCACCTCGTCCTCCCTGTTATCATCCTTGGTGTCATAGAAGACGACATTGGGGAGGATGGTATCCACCACCTCCTATGCCTCCTCCCATGCCCCCTGCTATGCCTATGCCAATGTGTTCCAGGCCTCCTTGTTATTGGTGATATTGAAAAAAACTGTGTGGTAGCTCTTAATGAACTTACATTGAGAAGTCGAAGAATTTCTTGTATATGCATAAAGGATAAGTCTAATGAACATGTTGTCTGAGTTCACATCATGTACAGAGTGTCCCAAAAGCCTTTGAGTCTGTAAAGTGCGGTTCATAGTTATGCGAACACTCAAAATTTTGTAAGTTTTTGGACTTTTTGGGAGGAACTCAAAAAACCGTTGGTATCACGCGATAGAACACAGCCGAAAACGGTATATGACCTATAAGAATGGAAATTGATGTCAATCTTAGGAGTGTTTTTGCGCATAATGCGAATTTTTAGCAGTTAATAATTATACGAACACCTCAAACAAACGTCCATTTTTCATTCAAGATTGCAATTATTTGAGCCCAAATTTTTTGTGGAGTTACAGTAATAAAGTCTGACATATCTGCTGCACACTGAACCCAGTGCAGTTCAAAAAAGGACCGTTACTTCTTCCAGAAGGCTCTGAATGCTTTTGGAGTGCTTGCGCTCAAAAAACATCCGTTCTTCTGTGGTTTACGCGCTCTAATTAGCTTCTACCAAAGCTATGAGATAAAATAAGCTCTTTTGATAGGTATTTTATATGACGCTTGGAAAATCTTTGCTTTTTCGTGCCGTTTTTCAACCAAGTTACAACCTTATCACAGAGTTAGCACGATTTCGAGCCTCAAAACTCAGCTTCTCTCTTGCGCAAACATTTGATATGAAGCAGCTGCATTGTTTGCATGATGATGTTTCTGTGCCAAAGTTTTTGGGTTTTTTGTAGAACTGATCTTGAGGCTGTGGAGCTACAAACCAAATAAAGGTGTGATCGCAATAGTAAAAACAGTGTTTTTGGTGAAATGACGTCTGCGTGGCCAAAACAAACGCTCAAAGCTGCCGATGTTTTCGAGTCAAATATACAATCTTGTGAACTTCTACATACTATATGCTTACTTCATTGTACGGACGGCTTCAGAAGCTGAGTTTTGAGGCTCGAAATCGTGCTAACTCTGTGATAAGGTTGGAATTTGGTTGAAAAACGGCACGAAAACGCAAAAATTTTCCAAGCGTCAAACAAAATTTTTGTCGGGAAGGCTTATTTTATCTCATAGCTTCAATAGAAGCTAACTAGAGCGCGTAAACCACAGAAGAACGGATGTTTTTTGAGCGCAATCACTCCAAAAGCATTCAGAGCCTTCTGGAAAAAGTAACGGTCCTTTTTTGAACTGCACTGGGTTCAGTGTGCAGCAGATATGTCAGACTTTGTTACTGAAACTCTACAAAAAACAATCTTGAATGAAAAATGGACCTTTGTTTGAGGTGTCCATGAACCGCGAAAAATTCGCATTAGGCGCAAAAACACTCCTAAGATTGACATCAATTTCCATTCTTATGATTCATATACCGCTTTCGGCTGTGTTCTATCGCGTGGTACCAACGGCTTTCTGAGTTTCTCCCAAAAAGTCCAAAAACTTACAAAATTTGGAGTGTTCGTATAATTATGAACCGCACTTTATTTTCTCAGCTACAGCTTGAAGGAAGCAACGAAATATCTTCCAGTGTCCTTCACGCAAGCCTGCACTAACTTCAAGAACGCAACTACCGTCGTTTTCCAAGGTGGAAGACTCTTGCAGATGGGTAGTTGACGTGGAGAGAGTCTCAGGCTTGCAGGAACACGCGCTCCAGACTGTCCAAATTTTGATGAAAAGCACTGCAGACCTTGCTTTTCACTGAGCACTTCAGAAAAGCCGAAAAGTATAGACTCGGCGATCAAAAGAGCCAAATCGGATCTCTAAGATCGTACAAAACTGTCTAGGTGTTGCAATCAAATTTTTGAGCAGAGGAAAGCAGTAGTCATGCCGTAACTGAACATTTTTTGAAGAACATCTATGGATGCGTGAAATCTATTCAAAGCTAACACGATGGGGATAGAACTTGAACTTTCCTTCTAAAATAATGGCACATATATTTGAAATAAGCCTGAAACGGTTACTCCAAATAATATGCAATTCTTAGCTGTTGAGCAGGGAATGGTCAGAAACTGACCCAGCCATACCAAACATACCATATATCGTCGGGCTCGCCTTAAAACGCTGATCACAAATTTGTGTAAAATCTGTCAAACGACTAACTGGAAGGAGTTGACCGTTCAAATGTGCGATTTTTCAAATGTTGTATGGCTCACGTTTACTTTTTGTTTAGGTTTTTGGTGAATGTGCTTCGTCCTTTTAATTGATTGACCATCGCCCCCACCCATCATACTGTCCTTAGAAGCAGTGGACAGGCAGATTAGACTCCTCTCGGATTTTGGTGGATTTAGGAACTAGAGCCCCACAAATATACGTATAGGCCGTCCGCGCTGCGCACGGAGAGCAACGCTGTTGCGTACATTGAAGGCAGTTCACGACTGGAAGAAGCGCAGAGAAAAACAGGCGGCGAGAGTGCACGAGGAAAGAGGAGTGACGCGCAATACACACCTTGCGCACTCTCCGCGCCCTGCGCGGACGGCCTATAGCTCAAACCCCACGTGCCAATTCATGCGTCCAAAAATGCGCTTCAAACTCCCCCAGCCCTTTAATGGAAATGAGCGGGGCTGATGGAGTATCGAAGCGCAATTTGCAGGACTTATGAATTGGCAGGTGGTGGGGTTTGGGCTACATGTACTTGGGGGGGGGGGGTGTCTACTTCCTAAATGCACAAAAATTTGAGAAGAGTCCATTCTGCCTGTCCACTGGCTTTAAAGGAAACTAGCTGGCTTACCCGGCTCCGCCCGGCCCCGTCAAAACACTATGATAAAGCTCTCATCCCTATCCCAATATAACCTTTCCCTGTGCCCACTTCTACATGCAACTCAACTCCCTCTTCCCGCTGTGTTAGTAATCAGTATCTCACCTACCTTCCTCACTACTCTCCATCTCCGTAGCTCAAACTTTGCAAAAAATTTATAAAATCGATAAAAGTAACGAAAATTCTAAAAACTGATGGCGCTATTCGGCTATCCGGGCCCCAAAATGTTTTTGTGACGGATCTTGTTCAAAGTCGGTATATGGGGATTATTTGAGCCGCTGATGACAAATATCGCAGTCATAGCGTGGCAGCGGGTAAAAATTAAATCCTGACTGAAACCTTGGCAGGGAATTACCTAAAGTGCTGTTTCAAGAATGTCGTGCTCAGTCCTCACGATGAATTCAATTCGTGTGGTATAATAGTTTCCCACTATCGTAATGCTTTCCTTATAGGACCACTACCGCGCGCAAAACACTCTTCGGCGGCTTTTGCCTAAGCAAAAACAGGGGGAGGGAGATTTGCCGCGTGCGATACACCCTTCGGTGGATCAAACAAGCAACACAAAAAATAATCGAACAAAACATAATACAGCATTGCACAAGCGAAAAAAAATTAAAGAAGTTCACAATCTCGGAATTGGCGGCATGCTGTGCCCGGCGCGCACCATTGCGCGCTTAGGGCAGGCTTGCTGTCGCCATACAAAATTTTTGGAGGGCTGTAACTAGGCGAGGAGGAGGGGGTTTGGGGAGATTTAAGAACTCAATGGTTGGGTTTTTGATGTAGAACAAGGTTATGTTGAACATATGAGAAAATTATGTGAAGGAAGAAAAATATATGACTTTTTCTTTTTACAGCCACCTCAGGTGGCTGTCCAGGTGGCTGTAAAGCACCTAACTCCGAAAAAAGTTTGCCGCGCCTTTAGTTCACATAATTTTTTCGTAACTTTTTGCACATAGTCCTAATTCCCTGTTGCCCATCTACACACCAATTTTGGTGTCATTTCATTTTCTGTTTGCTGTAAACAAGTCTTTTGTTTATTTCGAGGTAGGTTTGAATTCGCGCGCTTAACCGGCGAACATGTTGAAACAAATTTCTGGTTTTTGCAGATCGATAAGGCAGAAATGTCCATTTGCGTCTTTTACAGAAGGTGGGTAACATAAGGGCAGAACTGTGTGGGGGCGAGGGGGGGGGATGCTGGGTTTCCGCTCAAACGATATCCCCCTTTTTTTGTTCCAAAACGATATCCAGCTTGCCCCGTAAGCCACCTGTGCCGAGCCCTGGTCGTGGGACGGATACTGGACGTGCGCGGCGCAATGGCCGTACGCACGTCCCACTCTCGCGATCATGCACTCCCATATACATGACATTTTGCAAAGATTTAAGGTATTAAGCACACTAAGGTTTCGTAGTTCTTGCAGGTATCTGTTCCCCAAAGGTTTTCGCTATTATAAGACAATTTGTGTTAAAAGAAACTTGCGATCAAAAGTTAGGCTAATTACAGTTACTGCAAGAGATACCATGAATATGACTTGATAAATGAAAAGTAATAACGCAAAGACCTTCCGTTTAGTCCGTTTGCAACAAGTGCATAGCCTTCGCAAAAATTAGTTGGTAGACGACTGATAATAGAAGCCTTGATATGACGTTTGGTGTGTACCAAGTGAAGTAGGGTAGACGAAGTTGTGTGGAATATTTATTCACACTAGCGTAGATTAGTTGAGAGCGATTATCGAGGTGTCGCGGTGTGGACCGGGGAGCAACCTCTAATACATTCGGAGGCTCCTTATATACGAAGGAAGGCGGAGCTGAACCGTATACAGGGTACAATGTACACGAGTTGGTGCTTGAAAGGAGATGCCGCCGATTGGCTACACTCCTGGCGCACGGGTACCACTCACTCTTGAGTGATTAGGTACTCAAAAGTGAGTAGCTCACCATTTAGCCTACGGGGACTCCGTAGGCTATGCAGAATATAGAGTTCATCAATGGTTGATGATTCAGAAATCATCAACACTCCGGGCGAGCGAGAGGAAAGTGAGATCTGGTAAGATCTTGCTAAGTTCAGACATATGTGAAGTTGACTAGCAGGTTAGTGAAACCTATGCATACAGAATAACGATCTATGAATAATAGCTGCAAATAATGTAAACATTCACACGAAATTAATTCAATTCATAATATATGCACAATGGTATGATCATTTGAGGTGGTTGATGGAGGCGAATTTCGTTTTGGCATTGCTCGTCGTCGTCG